GAAATGAAGTTTATATGATTTACAGAAAATGTGCAATAATTGGTTAAACAAAATTAGGCAGGTGCATAAATTTGGGCACTGTTGTCATTTTATTGATTTGAAAACTTTTAGAACTAATAACTGGAACTTAAATTTGGTTTGGTAAGTTCAGTGACCTTTGACCTCCATACACAGGCGACCTCAATAATGATAAATGGTATTTAAGGGAGGCAATTGTAGGTTTTTCTCCTTTTTGCATCTTCTTTGAAGAATCGCAGCATGGGAGTCTGAAAACAACTTTCAAATGAGCTGAAAACAAAGATTGTTCACCGTCATGGTTTAGGGGAAGGATACAGAAAGCTATCAGAGATTTCAGCTTTCAGTCTTCGCTGTGAGAAACATTGTGAGAAAATGGAAGACGACAGGCACAGTTCAAGTCAAGGATCGAAGTGGCAGAAAAACCAAGACAAATCTCCAATAAACAGAAGTGAAGGATGTTGAGAACAGTCAGAGTCAACCCACAGACCAGCACCAAACACCTACAACATCATCTTGCTGCTGATGGAGTCACTGTGCATCGTTCAACTATTCAGCACACTTTACACAAGGAGATGCTGTATGGGAGAGTGATGCAGAGGAAGCCTTTTCTCTGCCCACATCACAAACAGAGCTGCTTGAGGTATGCTGAAGCACATTTGGACAAGCTAGCTTCATTTTGGAATAAGGTGCTGTGGACTGATGAAACTAAAATAGAGTTATTTGGGCAGAACAAGGGTTGTTATGCTTGGAGGAAAAAGAACACAGCACTCCAAGAAAAAACACCTGCTACCTACAGTAAAATGTGGKGGTGGTTCCATCATGCTGTGGGGCTGTGTGGCCAGTACAGGGACTGGGAATCTTGCTAAAGTTGAGGGACGCATGGATTCCAACCAATATCAGCAGATTCTGGAGACCRATGTCCAGGAATCAGTGACAAAGCTGAAGCTGCTGAAGCCGGGGCTGCATCTTCCAACAAGACAACAACCCTAAACACGGCTCATAATCTAAGGCATTCATGCAGAGGAACAAGTACAACGTTCTGGAATGGCCATCTCAGTCCCCAGACCTGAATATTGTTGAAAATCTGTGGTATCACTTAAAGAGAGCTGTCCATTCTCAGAAACCATCAAACCTGAATGAACTAGAGATGTTTTGTAAAGAAGAATGGTCTAAAATACCTTCAGCCACAATCCAGACTCTCATTAGAATCTATAGGAAGTGTTTAGAGAATGTTATTTCTGTGAAAGGAGGATCTACTAAATATTGAGTTAAGGTTTTTTCTATGGTGCTCAAGTTAATGCACCTGCCTAATTTTGTTTAAACAATTATTGCACACTTTCTGTAAATCATATAAACTTCATTTCACTTCTCATATATCACTGTGTTTGTCCCCTGTATGATATATTTAACTGATTTTTTAAATCCAAACAATCAATGATTTATAAAGATAAATCAGGAAAATTAACAAGGCTGCCCAAACTTTTGCACCCAACTGTATATACAGTGTGCTTCTATTAGGTAAAGTTATTAAACTGCATGGGATAAATTTCCATTGTTTAAACCTGATGAATCCAACTAGTTACTTAAACTACAAGCATGTCTCAAATACATAAAAACCTGGGTGATTCTTCAGACAGAGATTGTAGTTTTTGGACCTGAACATCTTAGGGATCAACTTTGCAGCCTTTCACCTCCTCTGGATGGCATTAATCTGGTCTCCAGTTATAATGTAAAGAACCTTGGCGTTATTTTTGATCAGGATATGTCTTTTAACCCCAACATTAAAAACGTTACCAGGACCGCCTTCTTCCACCAGCGTAATATCACTAAAATTAGAAACATTTTTGTCCAAAAATTACGCAGAAAAAACTGATGCATGCATTTATTACGTCTAGACTGGATTACTGTAATTATTTATTATCTGGGTCCAAAAAACTCTTTAAGAAGTCTTCAGTTAATCCAAAATGCTGCTGCTAGAGTTTTAATGAGAGTTGGAAGGAGAGACCATATTTCTCCAGTTTTAGCATTGCTCCATAATATTTAAAACTTTTTTTTGATAAATCCTACAATGAGGGCTGGCTTGAGTTGGGTCACTTATTAATATCTCAAAGGGTTAGACTGCTGGAAGACAAACTGTTCACATTTCCTCACTCTGTCGAGATCTGTCTATCTGTGCTCAGTGTTTTAACATGTAACATGTCTGTTTTTATTTTGCTTTTGCAACACTTCTCTTCTATTTATTAATCACAAGGATTCCTCGCCCTGAGCAATATGGTGCCCAACCCCCCACCCCACCAGTAAGACAAGACGCTGGGTCATCACTGGAGTGTCTTTGGTGGGAAACATCTGTGGAAGATGACCCCACTATGTTTTTTAAAACCTAAATGACCTATGACAATCAGATCATAGCAAATTTTGAAAAGCTTTAGTTAGAACGTAGTCAGGACGCTGCTAAATACAGTTTTTATCCTATGAGGGTCATGAAAATGCATTTAGTCGAAGCTAAAGAAGAAAGTAAGACGAAAGAACCCTGTGAGAGACAGAAAAGGGATGACAGGAAAGTTTAACAAAAAGTGAACGAAGTGGATCAGAGTCTGGTGGCTGCTAAAAGCTGTTACCTTGGCACCCAGGACTGATTCTAAGAAATACCAGGAATACACAAGCTGCTTTAGAAGCTGTACTAATGAGCAAGAAAATAGGAGTCCAACATCTCAGATTCAACTGATAAAGTCCTTCAGTATCAATTTAGTCAACTTACATGGTGTTACTTTTTACAGAAAGTCATTTCAGGGTACTAAACATCCAATAATAAAAGGTCACCTCTTGTTTGCTGGCAAACAGAAGTAGAAAAAATGAATGTAATGTCATTATTACTGAAAAGTGAGAAACCAGAGGAATGTCCAGACTGAGAGAACAGAACCAGTGAATATAGAGGATAGAGTGTCTGAGCAGAGGAATCTAAACCTCAGTCGATAAGAGAAAGTATTTCTGGAACAACCTGCAGCGGATAGGACGAGGATTCTGAGAAAGTCACTGATTATTTATAGAATTATTTTCATCTTTAACAGTAGGAGATTCATCAATCCTCCTGCATTTAGAAGTTCAAACTGCATTCTTAAAACCACAAATAAAACTGATTTACTAAAGCAACCATGGTGCTGATGAGAAACAACAATCAAGATATTGTGTGGGTTTAATCCAAGTTTATGCTGGTATATTTTAAATATGGTTTGCACAAACATTTTAATATAAAAACCAACCCAAATGCAGATAAAATACTCCCAAAGAGAAACACAAGTCTGGCCCAAACACCTCAAAGAATGATGGCCCTTTGGTGGCCCAGATGTGGTTTGCCAGTGGTGGTCCATGCATGGGCCAGCACCACATAAACCAAACTCTAACCAGGCCAGTTGTTGCATGGCACCTTAAAAACAGTGCCATCACTGGCCCACAGCCGTATGCTATGTGGGGTCGCTGTTACGAAAAGTGTCCAGCACTCAAAAAATGAGCACTGTGTGTCTTAAATAGTTAGTGTGTAATAGTTAGACTCCTCTGTGGTTATGAGAACTGCAAATAAAGAGAAAACACAAAACAACAAGAGATAGAAGAACAAGAAGAAAGGAACGAGGGGCAGAAAAGGAACAAAGACTAGAGGAACTCCCAGAGTGAACCCCTCCAACAAGACCCCAGCTTATCCTAATGAGAGCGTGCAGCTGCTGAGCTATGGTTGGTGGAACAAACTTCTGCTGGATGCTGATTGGCTATCTCAGTATGACAGCATCACTAAAAAGCAGCCTCTGTTCTTTGTTCGAAGCTTCAGTTTCTGTCTGTTCGAGCTCTGCCAAAGGTCAGATCAGCAACAAAATGTCGTCAGTTGTTCTTTGCGACAAACTCAACATGTCCTGAACATTTAAGCAGACGGATAGATGGACGGATAGACAAGCAAACCAACGCTACAGAAAACATCGCCTCCTCTGTGGAGGTAAAAAAACAGA